AATGGTGAAATATGCAATGCAGGTAAACACAGTATAGCATTTTCCCATCCTACAGGGAGAAGTTCATCAACTGAATAATTTTAATTGTTGCAAACAAAAAATACAATAAAATTTCTCAATTAGAAATGTTTTTTGTTTTTTAAATATCAGCATCTGGTCATCTTTTTAAAAAATATATATTTTTTTATGAATTTCAGAGAAAGGAAAGGAGAGGGAGAGAGAAACATCAATGATGAGAGAGCCATTGATCGGCTGCCTTCTGCACACCCTCTGTTGGGGATCAAGCTGCAACCTGGCATGTGCCCTGACCAGGAATTGAACCACGATCTCCTGGATCACAGGTTGATGCTCAACTGCTGAACCACACTGGCTGGGCAATTAGGAATGTTTTGATAAAATTATTTTGCCCACTGTTAACTCAATAAGTAAGTAAGTACCACAATCAACTGAACTGTTTCTCCTCTAGCTTATTTATAATAATCACCTAAAACAATGTTAAAGTTGCAATCCTTTAAGGTAAAATATTTTGTAGATAGTGGCCATCTTGTTTCTATAAAACAAAAGAGAAAATATCAGAGGACTCAAAAAGGTTAAAAACCACTAAACTAAAATTATTGACTACCTAAAACAGCATCTGGAACTTAAATGTTTTCCTGAGCATTAATATTTCTTTTAATTTAGCCATGTTAATAACAGCGACTAATTATTCAAAATCTACTATCAACTATGCACTGTACTATCTGTTCACAAACAATATCTCATCAGTTCCCACAGTAATGTTGTAAGGTATTCCCATCTAACAGAAGAAACTAAAGCTAAGTAACTTGTCCAAGGCTACATAAAGTGATAGAAGATTTGAACTTGGTTTGTCAACAAAACCCATACCTTTCTACTATGGTACCCTCCTTTATAATCTTCTCTGAATATAAATTTGCAATAAAATTTCCATGATGAAAATAAATTTTCTCATGGTTACCCATGGCCTAAACAGAACCATTACTGGTGGTGTTTTTCCAATATGTTCAAATTATAAGTTCACATAAAATATTTTCCATTTATATACTCTCACAGAATCTTTCTTGATACTCTAAAAATGACAGTCATTTCTTTTTTTTCTTTTTTTCTTTTTTAAATATATCTTTATTGATTTCAGGGAGAGGAAGAGAGAGAGAGAAACATCAATGATGAGAGAGTCACTGATCGGCTGCAGCCCACAACCCGGGCATGTGCCCTGACCGGGAATCTAACCCCAATCTCCTGGATCCTAGGTCAACGCTCAACCACTGAGCCATGCCCGACTGGGCAACAGTCATTTCTGATGGCCAAAGCATGTATAACTACATGAAAACAGCATTTCAGTTCAACAAATGGAGAAACCTCCCATTAAAGCAAAAAAAAATAAAAAGAAAAAATAAAAAGAAAAACTAAACCATGGGAAATCACTTTTAGGCCTGGTTATAAAAATGAGCTTAAACCTTAAATTTCAAAACTAAATTTATTCCCTAGCCAGATGAGCAAACCCTAAGTAAGTAGCGATGAAAGTATAAGATTCAACTACTGTATATGAAACTCTCATCAAATATCAATTCACATGAATCAACCCAATGCTTGAAGAGTTACCAAGGCCAGGTACCCTTAAGTCTGTTGCTTGGAACAAAGGTTCAACAGAATGTTAAAAGAATTTATGACAAAATTCAGTGTCAAGTTTGAGAAATAGTGGGTTAAACAAAGTTAACCCATTTCTACCTGGGAATGTCTGAGCCCTTAATGTGTAAATATGAATTATGAATCTCCATAAGGATTCATTATCCTAATGAAGATATTAAGGTTTACAGAGATTAAGTGACTTATCCAAGGTCACACAGCTAGCTAATGGCGAACTTAAAATTAGAACCTAATTCTCCTGATTCCCACTCCAAAATTCATTATATCTCCCTAAGACTTCATCATACATGACTTTTTTTAAAAAGAACTTCCAAGGGTCACTTTTATATAAATATAAGATGGCAAACAACAGTGGCTTGTCCTAAAAGTATTTACCACCACCCACCAAAGCAAGTGACAAAAAAAAATGGTAAGTAGCAAAGAACTTTTATAAAACTACAAAAGGCTCCTCAGAGTAAGCTGGGACATGGTATTTACAGATTATACATACTAATGACACTCCAAAACATATATTCTTATAAAAATATTTCCTCTAGAAAATCAGAGATATCATCTTTTCTAATCAGTACCTGGATGCAACTAAGAGAATGGTAAAAATGACAACCTAGATTGTAAGGCACATTAGAGCAGCAACCATGTCTATTTTGCCCACCAATATACTAGAGCCAGACATATAAGTATTCCATACATATGTATTTGCTGAAAGAATGAACAATGTATCCTTGCTCTACCATTAATTAGCTGTAGGACATTGATTACATTATAATCTCTCTGAATCTGAGCTTCACCACTTGCAAATAAAGCGGTTAGACCAAAATGATCAATATCTCTTCTACCTTTAAGAATTCATGAATCTTACACAAATTAAATATCAAATCCTCAGCATTTGAGGATATGTCCACAATCAAAAATCTTAACAAGAAATAACATTTGCAGGTCACTTCATATTCATTTTCATTCAATATGCCCAGTTAACCTGCAAATTAGATTGATATTACATTTTACAGGTAAAGAAACTGAGGCACAGAGAAACTGACTGACTAGACCAGAAACACAAAGTAGTGAAATGTGGAGTTTAAACACAAGATTTTAGAAATGAAATCTCCAATTCTTTGCATTACACCTCCAATCATAGGGGTGAAAATGCAGCCTAGATGATGACGGCATTATTCCGACTTTTAGCTATTGATGTAATAGGGCTATGGGACAAACGGTCTCCCAACTCTGTCATCATTCCATCTTCCCAATGTTAATGCTCCAACTCTTCTGTGAAGAAAAACTACCTTGCTGCAACAAATTAATCACATTTTTCTCCTTGGAGCCTAAGGTTAACTAATATCACTATTATAACAGAGGATGACATTATCAAAGAACAAAAAGAACTTAAATTATCAATAAAAATCTTTCACATCAAAAGACAGTTTCAGTTCATGTACGCTCACAGTCAAATTACTGTTAAATTCAGAGGACATCTTTTACCATTATTATGCTACATTTAAAATGAAAACTCCACTTCTGGAAACTTTGCTAGTGGAAATAAGGCAATTTAAACCACTAACTCTTTGGTATTATAATACTACTATACTTCAAAATATTACTTCGAGGGCAACTTCTCTTAACTCCAGTAACGATAGGCTCTAACTTGGTGTTAAACAAATGGATTTACATCACACCCTTCCCCTCCAAGAAATACAACTGGGCAACCAGAAGCATCCTGGGTTATGGATTTAAATTTCCCCTGTAACCTGACTCCCATATTTATTAACATTATTAACTTTGTCTTAAAATATATACATATGTGATTTCAAATATAATTGTTTCTCACAGCTATGGCAAAAACCCCTTTTAACAGGGAGTATACGATACTAAAATAAACATATATTTATTAAACTTCTCAGATACCTAAAACCACATTAAATCCTCTGCCAAGAAAATTAAATGAGCATTATCTTTCTGGGGTTTACATGTGGAAACAGTTTGGAATATGCTTAGTGAGTCCTAATTATTAAATGTAAGTAGATATGACATGGAAACATAATAATCCTGCAAAGAATTCTTCTTAAAAAAAAAAAGGTCACTCACACTCATCCAACTTAGACACATACACACAGAAATGGCACACCTGGCTCATTCATATCACAAGATAGTTGCTATAGTGTTCTCTAAACTTCAGTAAGTTTTGGAGGCTTAACAAAAGTTTAGCTTGTTAAATGAACAGCTAAAAATCTCCAGACTCAAGAGGTCTCATACCTGAAAAGAATGACCAGAACACAAGTGAGAATTTTAACAATACCAAAGCCACAAGCCATTGCATCAATCAGGACTGTAATTCCTCTGCTCAATAGCACCAGACTCATCACCACCTTCAACACTGCTAAGTTTGAGAAGAGCTATTGAAATCTTTCGGGCCAGTCAAACCTAGTGAACTGTCACAAAATAAAAGTCACAGCATATGTGACAGCTTTGCAGGCCAATTTAAAAAATCACAGGACCAACGAATGCAGGGGATTCTAGAGCAAATTATCTAGACGAGCCTAGGTTATTTACCCAAATGCCAAGCAGTCCCCTGGGGAGCGCAGCAAATGATAACTTAGGTCCCAAAGGCAGGCTCCTTTTCACACAAGGATGACTTTCCTAGTTGGTGCCAACTGTACACTTGCATGCTCCGAAAATAGGGGCAAGTCCTGAACACCAAGGATTACAAGGGCAACGTTTCCATTTTATTATGAACTGAAGCTCAGAAGATTCCCAGTGCCGAATCGCTCGACCTATAACCTCCGAGTCACTTTCCAACTGTGCTTCACCCAGGATCATTATATACCCAACGGAAGCCAATTATTAGCTGTAACAAGGCCTGGAAAATAGTAAGAGGGCTCTAAAAGTTCACGGAAGAGTCACAGAAAAGTGGGGGCTTCGAGGAGAGGAGACCAACGTTAAATCATCTTGGGCTCAAATTTTCTAAAAGCCAGAATATATACAAAGCCCCTTCTCCCTGATGACTCCAAGCAGAAAGACACACACAGACCCTCAGTCATTCCGACAGCACGGGGCTGTGGGGGTTCACTAAGAGCAGCAGCCCGGACTGAGGCTCCCACTTGCCCAGATAAGGTCGGGAAACCTAGGCAGGGGTCTGCATTGTGGCCAGACAGAGCGCACAGCCCCTGCTCCCGGGCCCCTTTCTCGCTCCTTCCCCATGACCAGGCCTCTCCTCGCTCCTGCTCCCCTTCTTCTCCCTCCCCTCTCCCCTCCCCCCAGACACACACAAAACAAGGCCACCTCC